GGCAACACCGAAAACACTGAAATTTGACCTATGATGACCTCTAGCGACCTCAATATTGACCTTAGCGAAAAAATGACCGAAATACTTTCGAACGTACTTGTTATGGGCTTTCGTTTGCTTTTTTCCGCGTCTTCCTAGCCCTCTTCGTTTTCGAGTTAGACGGGGGGGGGTCATTTTGGCCCCCCCCCCCCCCCACCAGGGCGAAGGTGGCTCAGACCCACACCAGGGCGCGGGTTAAAGTTTTGTCCGGACATATCCATACCTTCTATCGGAGTTTCTGATACACTTTTCTGACCCGTAATAAATTTGTTATATAGTCATGTAGGCCATCAGATTCCCATCTTCACGGTTTTGGTGGCTACATTATTTGCTTATCGGAATTTCCGGTGCCGTCATGACCTGGCCTGACAGGTGCTGCCGTCTTATCACGTGACCGAGCGGAGTCGAGGTCAGGGCAGGTCAACCGATTAATTAATCAATTAATTAATGAATCAATTAATGATTAATTAATTAAATTAATCAGAAATTGCTTAGAAAGTACACCGATTACCATTTTTAGGATTCTACCATCCTTTTCATGTGAAAAGCGGGCACGAAATACGAAAAAGTACCGATGTCGCGCTAATTTTCGCTCCGGTCCCATTGTGCAGTGGTTCTAAGGGCCCATAAGGACACCACTGAGGGTCCCCCAAGCCAGTGCCACACCATTTATGCAACCCTATATTGGTGGCTCTGAGGTACCCACACCTGCGCCTGTGAGGGTTCGGCAAAAGCATATCTGACGGCCACCTACCTGCAACTCTGAGGGCCCTACACCAGAGACTGAGGGCCGCACTGGCGTCTCAGAGTACCTTGTCGGTATCTAAGGACCCCACAGGGCTTCTGAAAATGCCGCCGGCCTCTGTGGGCCCCTTGCCGGTCTGAGGTCCCCCTCCCCGGTCATTGAGGGCCCCCTGCCGACTTTTAAAGGGTTCGCACCAGCAGTTCTAAGGGCCACACACCCACATGTAACGGACCCACACCAGTGTCTCTGAGGGTCCACAACGGCGTCTGTATTCTGTGAGGACCCTCACCGGCGCTTATGAGGGATTCACACTAGCACCTCTGAGGGGTCACACGGGCGTCTGTGAGGACCCCACACCAGTGCCTCTAAAGGCCCCTAATTGGAGGCTCTGAAGGCCCTGCATCGGTGATACTGAGGGTCCTACCAAAGGCACAACACAAGCCATTAGTCTCCTTCTGAGTCCCACACGCCGTCCTCCCACCATAGGCGGCGGAACGGGGAGGGCACCGGGGCGCCGTGCCCCCTCTGATTTGGGCATTTTAACATTAGCCCTATGGGCGTTGCATGGAAAGCATGGGACCAAAAGTCGGCAGTGTCCCCCCCCCCCCTCCACTTAATTGAAGGTGTTCCGCCGCTACTGCCTCCCACCGGAGCGAGTAAACCTGTATCAATCAACGACTTTACCACCGTTGTACGTCATAATGTTCTCATCACGCCAAATCAAATACCATCCTGAACCAAAATGGTCCAGTATAAAATCTGACCTACCAAAGTTATGATCAAGTTCAGATAAAATCAAAGTGGGATGACAATAGCAGGTGTTCTTAAATGGATGCCGAATCAGCAGAAACCATTCACATGCAAGAGAAATACCTTGTGCTGATGTTTATATAAAAACAGACATGTAGGTCCATAAAAGGGAGCAGAGATCCTTCATTGTAGGCGCCGCCGGGAATTAATGTTTTTTTTTTTTTTTTTTGTTCGCTGGGTGGTTCGTTCAGTTGGTGTTTCCGGGAGTTGAGTTGGAATTGAATGGAAGTAGAACGTCATCAGTGGATCCTCCTTAGTAACAGTCAGCTGGGCGCTGCGTCGCTCCGGTCATGTCCGCGGTGAAAGTTTGCAGCTTTACTGCTGGAAGGCTCGTATTCTGTCATCTCTAGTGGTGAGTTTGTAGTAATTATTGGTTAAAGGCCCATGTGCGAAAGAGATTGGCCGTGTATTTACCACAGTATTTTGCGTATGATATTTTGAGTGATGTTGTGTTTTACATAAATTGCGTATTTGTTGGCGTTCTCGTTCCTGAATATTAAAGTGATGATGGTGCTGCGCCGCCATGTTTGGTTCATTCCTCGGTTCGAGTGGCGCAGAGGCGCATGCTGTTCGCTGTGGTTTTCGGTGGCCTAGATTTCGCTGTGAAGTTGGAGCAGCTTAGTCTGAGTTCAGGGGCGGATCCAGGAATTTTCGGGAGGGGGGGGCGGCAAGTCGAAATAGGGGCGACCTGGCAATCCGGGGGCGCTCCATACAAAGGGGGCGCCAAACCGTCAAAATCGGGAGCTAATAGCCCGCGCCGTGCTAGGGGGCGTTATCGCGCTCCCCCTCAGGTTTTTCGCAAATATCTGAAAAACGGCTGCGCGCAGCGCCGCCATTTTCAACATACCTTATCATGCATCTTGTTTGCACATGTAAAAATGTCTGACGCGGGTGATGAAAGGTCAGGTCACCAGGTTATGCCAAGTGACCTAGCCTAAGAAAAAGTTCAAATGCTTACCATTGCTATACCGACTGAACGATTGCTTTGAACCTTTCAGCGATTGATGAAAGCAACACTATTCATGAAATGTATATCTCGGAATTTCGATATCTGTGACCTGTCAGGTCAGTTGTGCGACGTCTCTATTAGGTAGGTAGGTATAATTAAGTCTTTGGGAGAAAACTGAAAGGCATCTCTTTTGGACAAGCGCCATTCTAGACAATATCAAGCATTGGGATACATATAAAATTAACACACTGAATAAGAACATTGCACCTAGTGTGACCACTCATTATGTCCCAGAGGTCATCCCATGTCATGAAAGGTCCGCAGCAGTTTTTTTTAAATAACTTTTAATAGATTCAAGCTAGAGCGATAAAAACACCTCAGCTGTGTTCAGCTCGACGATACGCATCGACTGCTATGCAGCATGACCTTTCCCGGTCAGGTCATGACCTTGACCTGAGGTCAAATTCTCAAAATTACCTTTCATAAGGTCAACCTTTAGTTTGTTCGACGTGTCTCGACGACAGAAACGCAATGCTGGCAAGCGTAGGTAATGTCGAGACTCTCTTGAGTCAAAAGTTATTGCAGGAAAACATTGTTCGCAAAAAGGCTATTTTTAGAGTCTTTTGCCCTCTGAAGGCTAAGCCGTTGACCTGAGGTAAAATCTGAGCGCAGCTTGTACAAACACCTTTAAAAGGGCTATCGAATGCGCTTTTCTGCGGCGCTATAGCTCTATTGGTTTCCGAGTTATGTGCCGCTGCTTCGAAAACGGAAAAATGTTGAAACAGGCAACATTTTACCTTTGATGACCTCTGGTGACCTGACATTCGACCTGACCTAAACAATGACCGTTTTGTTTTCGTCCTGTTTTTTTTTTACGATCTTTCGAATGCCGCTTATCGCGTGTCACTACGCGGCCCAGGAGCCGAGTTAGACGAGGGAGTGTGCCCCCCCCCCTCCCCAGCAGGACACGGAAAACTCACGGAACAGGACACGGACCACCAGCACGGCACGGGTTAAAAGTCGTAGATGGGCACCGCTACCCTAGCAAAAGATATAAGCAAAAAGGTGGCCTCCATTTACTGATGCAGTCCTTCTTCTCCCGGTGATGCCCCCTCCTTTTTCTGGAAGCGTCTCACTCATGCTGGTATGCCTCACTTCCCGGGGGCACCCAACCTCTGCTTGGATCGCCTAATCCATTATGGAGAGACCCACTTTGCTTAAGTCGCCTCACTAAGAACGACCAATTTGCTGTAGGCGGCCCACATATCTGGGACGCCCATCTTCTGCTAGAAGTGCCCCTCTTCTTCCTGATGCGTCCCACTTCTACTATGAATGCACCTTTTCTGTTAGGGCGCCCCTTTGCTGCTGAGGAGCCTTTTTTCTACTGTGAATAGGGCGGCCCTCTCCTGTTGGGCGACCCCAAATTCTGCTGGAGGCGCCCCACTTCTGCCCAACTTTTGGTGGGGTGCCCCTCTCTTGCAGGGGGCACTTCTCTTTTGCTGGAGACGCCACTCTTGTGGGGGCGCCCTTCCACTGCGGGGAACGTCTCTCTTCTGCCAGAGGCACCCCTTTTCTTCTTATGGGGCTCCTGTTTTTGTTTCTGGGGCGAGGCGACCCTCTGCTGCTCGGAACGGGGCACACCTCTCCTTTTACTGGGGCATCTGCTGGGGTTGCCCTTCCACTGTCGTCAGGGGCGCCCCTCTTGGTAGAATATACTCCTTTTCTTTTTGTAATGGGGCGCCCCTCTTCTACCGGGGGCGCCCATCTGCTGCTGGGGCGTCTGTCTTCTGCCGGATATTGTCAATGGGGCGCCCATATACTGTTTGGCGGGCACAACCTCTGCTGGAGGCTCCCTATTTCTGATTAACTTTTGCTGTGGCGCCTCTCTTCTGCTGGGGCGCCCCTCTTCTGCTTGGGGCGCCCGTCTCCTGCTGGAGACCCCTCTCTTCTGCTGGGGCGCCCCTCTTCTGCCAGTGGCACCCATTTTCTTATTATGGGGCTCCTGTTTTGCTGGGGCGCCCAGGTGCTGTCAGGGCGCCCCTCTTCTCGGAATGGGGGCGCCTCTCTCCTTTTGCTGGGGCGTCGCTCCTCTTCAGGGGGACACGTCTCCTGCTAAGGGCGCCCTTTCGCTGCCAGGGGCGCCCCTCTTGAACAGAAGGTATTTTATATTCTTATAACGAGAAGCCCTCTTCTGCTGGGGGCGCCCATCTGCTGCTGGGGCGACTCTCATCTGCTGGGAATAGGCAATTGGGCGTCACTCTCCTGCTTGGTGAGCCCAACTTCTGCTGGAGGCGCCCTATTTCTGCTGAACCTTTGCTGTGTCGCCGCTCTTCTGCTCGGGGCGCCCTCTCTGCCGCGGGATATGGGCGCCTTTTTCGGATGGCGGGGGGGGGGGGGGCGGCCGCCCCCGTCGCCCCCCCCTGAATTCGCGCCTGTCTGAGTTTGACTGATTTGGTGTCAAATAAGGCCTAACCATTGTGGTCGCTAATTTGGAGCGGCTGGACGTGCGCTTGATCTTGTTGGGCGCCGTTATAGTCTCCCACCTTTGGGGTGGTCAAGTTTGTGGGGTCGACGCAGCCAACGGTCGGTATGTATCTGAATATAGCATGTCGTGGCGAACATTTGTATGCGTGAATTCGGTTTATGCTTCGTTTCGTAAACTGGAACCGGTCCAGATTGACTTGGTAAATGTAACTCGTTGGTGCGACGCTGTGCAAAGGCTGTGCTGTGGCTAAGTGTTGTGCCAAATTTATTCACTTTAGTCGAATATGTTCATTGCATACTTGTGACGGAGGTGATCTTTGCCTCAGAGATAACCAGTGGCTAATTTGTTTGTTACTGCTTTCACAGTAACGGGATTTACCATGGAGATGTGGCCACTTGGGGTCACAAATCTGGAATAAAGCTACCCAGTGAACGACAGCTGCGTCTTATTGATCCCGCTGGGGAGGCGATTGGAGGTGGCGGCTACAGTTACGACCGACTCATCATCCAGGAGGTCCTGGATTGGTCTCCACCTTCTAGTCTGCCTCGTCTGGATAACAACCATCCTGCATTGGAGCGGTGAGATCGCTCCGAGTGGTGGTTAAACATTGAGTCAATCACGTGCTGTTGCAGTGGAGATCCCAATCAGTGACGAGATCCCAATCAGTGACGAGATCCCCTCAGTAATATCAGTGCTCTGCCTATGGTCTGTTGAGGCACCAGCTTACATGCAGTGTGACTCATCCGTGGTAGCCTGAGTTACAAGGTGTTCAGTTCAAGTTGGACATATTGGGTTAGTTGGTGCTTGACCAGTTGCAGAGCTAGTGACTGAGCTCGGACAGTTGTGGCAGCTGACCTGAGTCGCGGCAGTGGTGTTGGGGAGTTAAGGTGGGCTGTGGAAGTTTCTTTAGTGAGGTTGGCTCCGTCGTGGGGTTGGAAGGGGACCTTTTTCAGTTGGGAAAACAGGGTCAGTGTTCCTGTTGTATAATGTTTGTGTATGTTGTGTAATAACTGTTGTCACTGTCATTCTTTGCTCAAGCTTGGGCATTAGACTGTACTTGAATGATCTTCACTCTTATGTTACTATTTCTTGAGCTGATAAGTTTGTTCATTTAAATGAATGTTATTCGAAGCGTGTTAATTTTAGTGCTGATAATGGCTACTAAGGAGGATCCTCAGTTGGGAAGTCAGGACCCAGCCCTGGTTAGTCTATCAGGGAGGGGGAGGGAGGACTTATTCAAGCTGAGGGTCTCAGAGTTGCAAGGTCAGCTAGAGGCAAGAGGTTTGGACAGTACAGGGAAGAAGGCTGAGCTGGTAGATCGCCTTTGTGTTGCCTTGGATCCAGTGAGTTCTCTAACGGGGGTCGTTGCCCCCGAGGGCGCTGATGGTGGGGATGGGGCCCTTGGGGAGGAACTAAGGGATGGTAGGTCTCAGGGAGGTGTCACTGAGTCTGTTCAGGTTATTGTAGAGAGGTTAAGACTGATCAGAGAGAAACAGATGATGGATGAAGCACAGTCTAGGATGAGAGCACGTTCAGAACAGATAGACTTGGAGTTAAAACTCATGGAAATCACTGGTCGTCAGATAGATGAGTCAGTTTTGAGCTCAGTCAAAGTCACAGTTGGGAGGCAGGAGAGGGCAGATAGTCTCACAGAGGCTGTTGTGTCCCAGACACAACGCGCTCTCCTTCCGCCCTCTGAATTGAAACCATTCTCTGGTGACATATGCGAGTTCAGGTTATTCGTCAGAGCTTTTAAGGCCAGGGTAGAATGTAGGACTGAGGATGAGAACGAGCGGTTACATTACTTGGACCAATATACTGTGGGGACCCCAAACAAGATAGTGAGGGGGTGCATGTTCTTGGATACAGGTGGGTACACACGAGCTTTGGCAACGCTCGAGGAGCGGTACGGTAGCCGCCACAGACTTGTTCATGAGTACACTAGGAAGATGAGAGAGTGGCCAAAGGTTCAGTCTGATGATGTGAAGGGTCTGGATAGGTTTGTGCTATTTCTGAAGGAAGTCGATAGCGCTGTGGCAGACTTGGGCCGCGAGTTTGATCATCCGCAGTTCATCAGGGCGATCTTGGGAAAGATGCCTCCTGCTATCCATGATAGGATCTTGCGCCGGTGTGACACGTTCATGGAGCTCGGTGGGAAGACAGCTCGACTGTCTGACCACGGTTCGTCGGAAGGTCATCTCAGGCTCAAAAGAAACGCTATATACCATTCGAAAGCTGACGGTGAGCTGAATCCAAAAATGTAATTTTTATCAAAATCGATCGATGGCCTTTTTTCAAAATTGCGTTTTTGTAAAAACTTGATAATTTTTCATTCAACGGGCTGTCCCGGACATTCTTGAAAACATAAACATGTATTTTTATGTTCCAGTGAAAGCTGAACACCAAAAGAACAATATTTAGCGAAGCAATATTTCCAAACATTAATATGCGTCTCCCACAGCCGACAATAAGGCGCAATTACACAGCTCAGTGTCACGATGGACCAAAGTCGGCCTTACAGAAGCGTGAAATGACACTTATCGACTCGCAGACCCGGCGCTCTCGGCCCGCCTGACCGGCCACGGCAAGGAGGTTCGGCTGTCGTTCTACTAAACGGGCGTCATATTTGTTAGTTTAACGATTCAAGTCGGTACTTGAGTTACTCAGGATACATGAGCAGAAGATTCATTGCTCTGTCATCTTCACATCATGCATTAATTTGCATTTGTTTCTGTCTACTTTGCTCAATTGAGCTTGGTATCATGCCCATATAAGGAAAATTGGCCGCGCTGAAATGTCAGAGGTTGCACCGGCCTCAGCTCGGGTGGAATGGGGGTAGCGCCCGGTGGGGCAGGGTAACCTTTGACCGGTCGCACGGCCGAGCAGCTGTCAACAGTACAGCCTCTGACAGTGAAACCCCGCTCACTTTCCCTGCGCGGGCACTGAGCGCAGCTGGATGGAACAAAACATGTATAAGAAAAATGTAAATTAAAGCATGTTTCAAATCAAGCAGAACAATGAATTTTCTTCACAGGTATCCTGAATAACTTTAATAGTGATGTAGACAGTTAAACTGACAAATATGACATTTGTTAAGTAGAACGAGAGCCAAACGTTCTTTCCGTGGCTGGTCAGGCGGGCCGAGAGCGCCGGGTCTGCGAGTCGATAAGGGTCATTTCACGCTTCTGTGTGGCTGACTTTGGTCCATCGTGACACTGAGCTGTGTGATTGCGCCTTATTATCGGCTGTGGGAGACGCATATTAATGTTAGGAAATATTGCTTCGCTAAATATTGTTCTTTTGGCGTTCAGCTTTCACAGGAACTCGAAAAAACATACTTATTTTTTCCAGAATGCCCGGGACCTATCGTTGATTAAAAAATTATAGAGTTTTTACAAAAACGCAATTTTCAAAAAAGGCCATCGATCGATTTGGATAAAAAATACATTTTTAGATTCAGCTCACCGTCAGCTTTCGAATGGTATATACCGTTTCTTTTGAGCCCGAGATGACCTTCCGACGAACCGTGTGACGTAATTGACGTGCTGGCGACTGAGGTTCGCATGAAATGCAATCCGCTGTATGGTGACGTAAGGGTGGATGATGTGACGCGCGGCCGTGAGTCCGGTCAGGGTGTGGTTCGGACCCACCGGGTCAGTGCCGCTGCAGCGGTGAGGCCGGGTCCGCGGCCGTGCCCATTTTGTCGTGGGCCGCATTCCGTCGACAAGTGTGAGCAGTTGCGTCGTCGGTCTGAGCGTGAGCGGTTTCTCTTCGTGCGCGATGCGGGACTTTGTTTCGGTTGTTTGAGGGGAGGACATTCCGCTCGTTTCTGCCAGCGCCGCCTGTCGTGCGATTCGTGTGGTAGGAATCATCCCACCCTGCTGCACCGCAGTCCCAATGACGTGCAGGATGCCTGCATGGTGGCGCCACCTGCGAGGCCGGTGGCAGCGCCGCCCAGCGGCCAAGCTCAGCCGGCTGGAGGTTCGCGGTCTTCCGTCGTCACTGCTAATGCAAGGGTGGTGACGCGGGAGGGCCGGGCGCGGGTGTTCATGCCGATAGTGGCCGTCAAGGTACGTGGTTCAGGTGGCAGAACGGTGCTGTGTAATGCGTTCCTGGATGGGGGGAGCAGTGGCTGCTTTGCTACTGAGGAGCTCGCGGGTAAGTTAAGATTACAGCCAGAGCAGACGACCATCTCTGTCGACACCGTGTGTGGTGAGGGGCAGGTTATCAGCTCGTCGGTTTTGGAGGGACTCGAAGTTTCCGCGATCGAGGGACGTGACTGGCGCTCGCTACCGGTGGTGTTCACGCTGCCCAGATTGCCAGTGAGCGGACAGGACATGTTCTTGGAAGGTGACTTACCTGATTGGCCTCATCTGAATGACATCTTTCTCCCGCAGGTCTCTACTTCTGTAGATCTTCTGATAGGGATTAACGCTCCGCACCTGCATGTGGCGGAGGAGGTGAGGGTCCCTGAGAGCGGTAGCGGACCGCACGCTGTGCGCAGCCCGCTGGGGTGGTACGTCATCGGAGCAGAGTTTCATGAGAGAATTCGCCGATCGCATTCGGTGAATTTCATTAGAACGAGCAGGAAGGCACAGAGTGATGACACAGGCAACCTGTTCGAGCAGCTGTACGAGCAAGACTTTTCTGGTCTGGACGACGATAGCGTAGGCTTATCTGTAGAGGACAGGCTGTGGCTGGACCGTGTGAGGGCTACCGTCCGTAAGGACGAGGAGGGACACTTTGAGATAGGTCTCCCTAGGTCTACCGTCACGAGTGTCCCGGACAGTCGCCCGGTCGCTGAGAAGCGACTGATGTCGCTGAGGAGGAAGTTGATGGGGGATCCGAGTCTGTTTCAGTCTTACAGGGCCGTGATGCAATCTTTGGTGACGGATGGCTACGCTGTGAGAGTGCCGCAGAGCGAGCTGACCGTTCCATCAGGTGATGTATGGTACCTGCCGCATCACGCGGTGGTGACTCCTAGCAAAGTCAGGGTAGTGTTCGATTGTGCAGCGCGTGCGGGTGGAGTTTGTCTGAACGACATTCTTCAGGGTGGTCCCCACCTGGGACAGCCTCTGAACGCTGTGATCGCCCGGTTCAGGGAAGGTCGCATAGCGTTTACCTGTGACATAGAAGCGATGTATCATAGGGTCCATGTGCCGGCTGGGGACTGTGACTTGTTCCGTTTTCTGTGGTTTAAGGATGACGATCTGTCCGGTGACGTCGAAGTATGGCGTATGAGGTCACACGTTTTTGGGGCGGTGACGAGCAGCAGCGTGGCATGCTTGGCAGTGCAGCTTTGTGCCGAGGAGGGGAAAGGTCAGTTCCCTGCTGCTGCTGACGCGTTGCAGCGCAGGACGTACGTTGATGATACGCTGGTGGCTGTAGAGTCTGTCGAGGATGCCGTCTCCCTCGCGCGGGATCTCACAGAACTCTGCCAGACCGGGGCGTTCCATCTAAAGAAGTTTGCTAGTAACAGTGCTGAGTTCCTGCAGCACATTCCCGAAGATGAGAGGGGAAAGAGTGTCAAGGATCTGAACCTGGCTGAGGGTGCGCTCGGTTCCAATCGTGTTTTAGGTGTAGAGTGGGATATGGGAGAAGACGTTTTTCGTTTCCATTTTCAGGATAAGGAGACTCCGGTTACCAGGCGCGGAATACTGTCCGCCGTGAGCGCCATATTCGACCCTTTGGGTTTCTGGGCTCCTGTGACTCTTTCAGCTAAGATGCTCGTGCAGAAGCTCTGCGCGGCATCGCTGGGCTGGGATGAAGCCATCCCGCCGGCTCTGGCAGGTGAGTGGGAAAGCTGGATTCGACAAGCTAAGGGACTAGACGGGATGCAACTGCCCCGAGCAGTTTGTGGTCCGAAAGGTAAGGTGATTTCTACGGAGCTGCACATATTTGTGGACGCCAGTGAGTCCGCGTACTCCGCTGTGGCCTATGTACGCAAGGAGGTCATGACTGGGCCGAGTGAGGTGGAGGTGTACATTGGTTTCCTGATGGGAAAGTGTCGTTTGGCGCCGCTGCGCTTTGTGACTATCCCGAGGTTGGAGTTGGCGGGTGGTGTCCTGGGCTGTCAATTGCGTCAGTTCTTGGTTCGTGAGCTGGACACTAAGTTTGACAGGATCCGCATGTGGAGTGACAGCATGGTGGTGCTGTCATGCATCTGCAACAGGAAGACGAGGTTCAAAACCTACGTGGCGAACCGCCTATCGTACATTCATGGAGCCACTAACGTATCTGACTGGTCTTACGTTCCTTCACGGGATAATCCTGCTGACGTCGGATCCCGGGGTGCAGAGCCGCATGGTCTTCAGGTGTGGCTACAGGGGCCTCTGTTCCTGCGTCAGGATGAGTCTGGCTGGCCAGAAGAGCCAGCTGTGCAGTCTGATCTCCCAGTGGCAGAGCTGAAGAAGCCCGTTCCTGTTGCAGCTGTGGTTATCGGTGCGGCGGATTCAAACAGCACCGATGTGCTTATCGGGCATTACTCGAGCCTTTTTCGCCTGAAGAAGGCGGTCGCGTGGTTTAGGAAGTTCTTCGATTGTGTCAGATCTGGGGCTTTCAGGCAGGCCGTGGTGGCCAGGAGGCGAGGACTCCGACCGAGGTCTGTTGGAATCGACTCGCGTCTCACTGTGTTTGATTTGGACGCGGCTGAAGTCGCTATTTTCCGGTTCGTGCAGACATCGAGCTTCCCTGAGCTGTATCATGACGGTAAAGGGATGGTGACCGTTCCCAAAGGCAGCCCACTGAGTCGTCTGAACGTGGTGGCTCGGGGGAATGGTTTGTTAGCCGTGGGAGGGCGCCTGAGTAGGTGTCCGGTGAGTCACGACTTCAAGCATCCCGTGCTGCTCCCACGGGATCATCATGTTTCTCAGTTGGTGATCCGTCAGGCCCACGAGAAAGTGGGACACCAGGGACGGGAGCATACCCTCTGGAAGGTGCGAGAGCGTTTCTGGATCTTGGGAGGAGGATCTGCAGTTCGAAGTCTGCTGCGTTCTTGTGTGACGTGTAGAAAGTCTAATTCTGCTCCGCAGGTTCAGATGATGGCCGACTTGCCGGAGGACAGGGTTACTCCGGAGACCCCCGCCTTTTCCTCCATCGGTCTGGACGTGTTCGGGCCAATTATAGTGAAGAGGGGGCGCCTGGAGGTGAAGCGTTACGGGCTGATATGTACGTGTTTGGTGTCGAGGGCCATCCACTTGGAAGTTCTCCACTCACTGCGGACTGACTCGCTGATAAACGCGCTTCGTCGTGTTGTCGCTCGTAGAGGTCCGATTAAAAGAGTCAGAAGCGATATGGGCACTAACATGGTGGGAGCGGACAATGATTTGAAGGCAGAGATATCTCGACTTGATCGAAGGAAGTTGCAACAGGTAGGACTCGCTGAGGGGATTGAATGGGTGTTTAATCCTCCTTCAGCGTCGCACTTCGGTGGCTGCTGGGAGCGCCATATTAGGACTGTTCGGAAGGTGTGGAGGTCAATGCCTGTCCAGAGATTAGACGACGAGAGTTTACATACTCTTTTCTGTGAGATAGAGTCTGTGCTGAATAGTCGTCCATTGACGTATGTTTCGACCAGCCAGGGTGATGTTGAACCACTCACCCCCAATCATCTCCTGCTCCTGCGGGGATGTGGAGAGGGTGTCGTGGGCCAGTTCACGGCTGACGACTTGTTGTCCGTCAAAAGATGGAAACAGGTGCAGTACCTGGCAGAGCAGTTTTGGCTGAGGTGGAGGAGAGACTATCTGCCGACTCTCCAGCGGCGACAGCGATGGGTCCACCGATCCAGGAATGTGGAGCCCGGGGATGTGGTCCTGATTGCAGACGAGGAGGTGCCGAGAGGCCACTGGGCTCTCGGTAGAGTTCTGGAAACCTATCCGAGCAGAGACGGATTGGTGAGAAAGGTCCGGCTCAGGACGGGGGGCACGGTACTAACGAGGCCAGTACATAAACTGATAGTTCTGTTATCTGACAGTGCTCTCCCCTAGATTGTAGATGCGTGCATTCAACGTACAGTTACATGAGTGCTGCAACGTAGAGTAGCTTTAGAGTAAGTATTAAGTGTAAGTGCCAGTTAGCGTAAGTAAAGACCTGACACCTCCCTGATCTTTGATCAAGTAGTGATCTGCCATGGCGGTTGTGAGCGGCGCTGTACTAGTTGTCCACGGGGTGGGGGGTGGCCAAGGGGGAGTGTAGGCGCCGCCGGGAATTAATGTTTTTTTTTGTTCGCTGGGTGGTTCGTTCAGTTGGTGTTTCCGGGAGTTGAGTTGGAATTGAATGGAAGTAGAACGTCATCAGTGGATCCTCCTTAGTAACAGTCAGCTGGGCGCTGCGTCGCTCCGGTCATGTCCGCGGTGAAAGTTTGCAGCTTTACTGCTGGAAGGCTCGTATTCTGTCATCTCTAGTGGTGAGTTTGTAGTAATTATTGGTTAAAGGCCCATGTGCGAAAGAGATTGGCCGTGTATTTACCACAGTATTTTGCGTATGATATTTTGAGTGATGTTGTGTTTTACATAAATTGCGTATTTGTTGGCGTTCTCGTTCCTGAATATTAAAGTGATGATGGTGCTGCGCCGCCATGTTTGGTTCATTCCTCGGTTCGAGTGGCGCAGAGGCGCATGCTGTTCGCTGTGGTTTTCGGTGGCCTAGATTTCGCTGTGAAGTTGGAGCAGCTTAGTCTGAGTTTGACTGATTTGGTGTCAAATAAGGCCTAACCATTGTGGTCGCTAATTTGGAGCGGCTGGACGTGCGCTTGATCTTGTTGGGCGCCGTTATAGTCTCCCACCTTTGGGGTGGTCAAGTTTGTGGGGTCGACGCAGCCAACGGTCGGTATGTATCTGAATATAGCATGTCGTGGCGAACATTTGTATGCGTGAATTCGGTTTATGCTTCGTTTCGTAAACTGGAACCGGTCCAGATTGACTTGGTAAATGTAACTCGTTGGTGCGACGCTGTGCAAAGGCTGTGCTGTGGCTAAGTGTTGTGCCAAATTTATTCACTTTAGTCGAATATGTTCATTGCATACTTGTGACGGAGGTGATCTTTGCCTCAGAGATAACCAGTGGCTAATTTGTTTGTTACTGCTTTCACAGTAACGGGATTTACCATGGAGATGTGGCCACTTGGGGTCACAAATCTGGAATAAAGCTACCCAGTGAACGACAGCTGCGTCTTATTGATCCCGCTGGGGAGGCGATTGGAGGTGGCGGCTACATTCATCGTTGCATCAATGTTGAGGGGGCGGCGCCCACTCGGCTCTCAAGTTGGGGGGGGGGGGGGGTAAGCGCCCCCACTGCCCCCCCTGTTCCCCGGGGTCTATGCAGTGAACGACGCTACAAGAAAAAACATGTGACACCTAATAGCAGGCACTATAAACATGCGCTCGTACGTATCCCGTCAGACCAGGACGGGGATCGGGGGTATAGTACTATGCAATATACATTAACACAGAACTATTTCGTGCTTTAACCCTCGCCCATGTAGGGGGGGGTTGGTGCAACCCCCCCCCCCCTGAGGTTTTTCGGAAATAGTGCAAAAACGGCGGCGCGCAGCGCCGCCAAATTTTGGGTACCTTATGGGGCAAACCTTGCGCATCTTTTGATAAAAAAAAATTTGACCGGGTCATGTCAGGTCACGGAGTTATGACGTCACAAAGGGAACAGCCTCCGGCCGGATTTTCACAAACTGAGTGCCAACGCCCGAGGTTTCCTGCCGGTGGTACGGACATCGGTTGATGGATCGTGATGAAACTTCCCATGCATGTTGGGGCAAGTATTGGCTATCATATGGTATAAGAAACTTGACCGGGTCAGGTCAGGTCACGGAGCTATGACGTCACAAGAGGAACAGCGTCCGGTACTATTTTTGAAAAGCGCCCGAACCACTATTTTGCTAATTCTTGTCACCTCAATGGGAATATGCAGCAATATTAGCTTCTATAGGGAGCAAATGGACATCCCAAATCCAAAAACACAATCAGATTTCAAAAATTTAAATTTTGATTTTTCGAATTTCTGCCGCCGACTGTGACCTTGCCGACTTCCGGCGCTCCCAACGCGCCATTTTTAGAGCCAGGGAAACGAAATACATACCAAACGATAGAAAATTGATCAAGGAACACGATAGTGAAGGTTTCAAGTCGATATCTCCCACCGTTTTGCCGCAATCGCCGCGGAAAATTTGAAAAAGTCTATTTTTCCGAAAATTTGACCTTTGACCGGTCAAAAGTAGGTCAAATGTTGACCTAGGACCAAAAAATATACCACCAATCGCGAGATCTCGTTGAGAGCAATCCGTTGGTCTTTTCCGCTAAGCTCTACGACGCTCCGTTTTCAAACGCCAAGGGGGGGGTCGCACCACCCCCCCCCCCTGCATGGGCGAAGGTGGCAGATCGCCGTTTACGGGCGAGGGTTAAGATGCATAACATTACATTTTCACCAACATTCTGAGTGCCAGACAAGCCAACAGCAAAGCGTCATTTCGGTAAAATGCATTTAATGATGATCGTAAGCTCACAAAGCATAGCGAGCGTGTTAGTTCAAAACATTGCCGCTAGGGGCGCTGAGGTCGCTAATGCTGAGAGATGGGCCAAAGTGTCGGCGGTCGGCGCCGCATGGGTGTTAATATTTGGGGGAAATAAAAAATGTCACACGGTTTCTACGTGTCTGGGGCACGATAAAATCAGTGGAGCACTATGTTTTGCGAAAAAAGTGCCCAAAATGACACACCCTAGCCTCCAGCATGGCTTGTCGCACTTTTGCAAGCGGTGTCAAGACCGTGTCTGGGGATGCTACACCATCGTTCCGGATTCTGCCAGGTGTGGTTGTGCTTCTCGGCTCTCGTTGTTTGAGACCGAGCCTCTCACCTCGCTGTGCTGCCGTGTTGAGCTGCCTGCTGAGGCCATCTGCTCGCATCTTGGTCAGTGCGGCTCGGAGGAGGTTGACTGACTCCAGGGCACCTCGTGATGTGCACGAGGCCGCCTGCAGGGAGGTTGTCTGGGAATCAAAGCTCTCCCATCTTCATCACTGATCACAACCGGGAAACATTCGAAATTCAAATTGGGTTTATTGCGCCCTTGAACTTTGACGCATCAATCACCCAAAGGTCTCCCATCACAGGCACGGGAGCCATCAAACCAACAACTGACCGCCACGCAGTCACAACAAATCCAACTCAACATTGCCACGTCATCGCCGCACTCGTCTCAGCTGCGCCGTTCACGTGTCAAAACCCGCCACGCCGACCACACCCAAGCTATGCTACGCAGTACGCACGTCCTGTCCTCTGTCTCAGCTACCTGTAATTTGTGGCGAAGAGTTGTGCCACCAGGCGGCAGCACCCGTCGGCCTATCGGCCTATAGCTGTCGCCACTGCTGCACCGAGCGATGAGCGTACTCATCTCGGCCACACTACCTATACCTATATTTCTCAACACGCTCCCCCCTTGGTGAATAGCGTTACATTGAGCGCGACATCATTCACCAACACATACGATACACACACGATATATGTACAATAAAAAATGTCATAACATCGCGCCGCGGCAGGCAGGACAGGCGGACCGGGGCCAGGGGGAGGATGAGGCGGCCGGTCTAGGACGACTCTGGATCAGAGACCTCCAAGTCATGGAGCCGCTGCACTGCTCTCGTCTTTCTGCCCCTGCTAGTTTTAACTTCTGCGGACCTGGAGACACCATCCCTCCCTGGGAACAATTTGGTCACCACGCCCAGGTCCCACTTCATGCGAGGCTGCTTCTCATCTTGTAGAAGCACAACAGAGCCCTCCGCCAACTTACCTTGCGGTCGAAATTTGCGTACTGAGAGCGGCAAATTTCTGACATATTCCTGACTCCACACGGACCAGAACTTTCGCAGTCGCTTTTCTCTTACCTGTGACTGAGCTCTCAGCTCATCAGGTCTGACCTCAGACGGGTCCTCCGCCTCTTTGGCCAAAAAGCCTACGCTGTGACCCGTCAGGAAGTGGTTGGGGGTTAATGGTACTGGATCGTCTGGTGAATCACCAACAAAGGTGAGTGGCCGCGAGTTGACACACCCTTCAATCTCCGTCAGGGCAGTCTCTAACTCGGCCCTACTGAGGTGTCGCTGGCCCAGGGATTTTTTAAGAGCACTTTTCACGCTACGCACCATGCGCTCGTACTGCCCACCCCACCACGGAGCGAGGGGGGCAGAAAACTTGAACCTGGGAGCGAGACGCCCGAAATATCGCTGCATCAGCTTCTCAGCAGCCTGGAATGTACGGGCGTTGTCGAGATACACAACTGAAGGCACGCCTCTCCTGGCGGCAAATCTGCGAAAAGCCAACATAAAATCATCCAGAGAGAGTGAGTCTACCAACTCTAGGTGTACAGCACGCACCTGCGAGCAACAAAACAAACAAATGTAAAGCTTCTTGTCAGGACAATCCACAGCAAAGATTGGCCCTGCGAAATCGCACCCACAGACCTGAAACGGCCTGCTCTGAGTAACTCTGTCTCGAGGGAGAGGGGCGGCGGGCTCACAGCACGGCTGAGAATCCTGCCTGCGGCACGCGTCACATCCCCTCACGACCCGCCGTGCGATGGTGCGCAGACCCACGATCCAGAACTCTGATCTCACTGCAGTTATCAGAGTTGACACACCAGCATGCTTCATACACAGGTGCTGCTCACGAACAATCAGGACGGCCAGGTGACCTTTTGGCAAAATCACCGGGTGCTTTTCCTCGTAGGAAAACTCTGACAACTGCAAACGGCCGCGCACACGTAGCAGCCCGTCATCGCCGAGAAACGGCGTCAGTCTGTAAATCTGGGAACTTCGGTGCACCGGACTGCCCTGCCTGAGCAGTTTCAGTTCTTCAGGGTAACTGTCCGCCTGCACCAAGCGTAACAGCTCCACGCGAGCCGTCGAGAACTCCTCGGCTGAGAGATCTCCCTGACGGCGCTGCGAACTTTGTCTCACGTTGTGAACAAATCTCAAGATCCAGCCCATGACACGGGTTGCTCGGCTGAGCGTACTGTAGCGTTCCACCTGCAGAAAATCGGATGTGTTACCCGCTGCTACACTCGCCGCCGTGAAAACGCCAACATTGTCACAAACAATTGACTCTGGTAGGGAATCCAGAGAATCAGCCTCTTTCTGACCATCAGTGTCAAGGTCCTGTCCCTGGTCCGGAGTCGAACCCGGCTCTGCGTCTGGTCTCTGCGGGACAGAAGTGCTCTCGGTCATATCCAGACCAACCTCCGGCTCTCGCATCACACTCGGATCACCATCAGCCTCCCTCAACCAGTCGGGTCCGCTGATCCACACAGGGGATGCCACCAGATCCTCTGCTAACAGGCCGCGTGTCATGAGATCCGCCGGATTTTCGGCTGACCTGCAGTGCAACCAGTTCTTTGTGTCAGTAAGCCGTTGGATCTCGCTGACCCGGTTGGACACAAACTGCTTCCACCTGCTCGGGTTACCACGTAGCCATCCCAGAGCAATCATGGAGTCACTCCAGCACCTGTACGGTGTGTCATCAGGCAAGTGCAGTGCCGTACGAACAAACTGCACCAGTTGAGCCGCCAGCACACAGGCCGAGAGCTCCAAGCGCGGCATCGTGAGCCGCTGACGCAGGGGGGCCACCCTCCCCTTCGACATGACGAAGGAGACGCTGTACGAGTCATCAGGCTGTTTGATACGGATGTACACACATGCACCATACGCCTTTGGGGATGCATCAGCAAATACACACAGCTCGAGAGACGGTGCAGCTGACCAGTCTGAAACAGAGTGCACTGTGAAACATCGTGGAACCTTCAGATTCTTCAAAATCTGACAACCGTCCAACCACCTGGTGAACACCTCTGCATATTCAGGCGGCAGCTCATCGTCCCACTCCAGCTGGAGCTCCCACAGCTCCTGAAACAGGCATTTAGCGACCACACTAAATGGCGTCAAAAATCCCACTGGATCGAAGATCCGCGCCATCATGCTGAGGACCACACGCTTCGTTGGCACTATGCCAGCAGGCAGCTCGTCTCCTGTGAAAGAGAAAACATCCTCCTCCTTACACCAGGTCACCCCAAGAACTTTCATCACACCTTCTGTCGTCACATGTCCCTTTTGACACTTTTCGGCCAGCACAGATGAGTTGCTGTTGCACTTGGACAACTCCATCCCAGCCGCTCTCATAATCTCACGAGCCTCCTGGAACATCTCCACAGCACCCTGTTCTGTATCCGAGCCTGACAGCAGGTCATCAACATACAGCGACTCTTTCAGTTCGGTGACGACCGGACTCTCTGGGTACAGCGACAGGTGGTACTTGATGGTGGCGTTCATTAAGAACGGGCTGCAGGCGACACCCATCGTCACCCGCTCGAACCGCATGGTCCGAATCTGGCCCCCTTGTCTCCATAGGAAGCGATGGGCATCTCGGTCATGTGACGTCAGACGAACCTGATGAAATGCTTTCACAATGTCAGCCGAATACCCGAACCTCCATCGTCTGAAACGAAGTAACACCTCCAGCAGGTTCGGCATCAGAGAGGGTCCCACATGGACTACATCATTCAAAGAGATACCGTTGGGTCCCTTTGCACTAGCGTCAAAGACAGGTCGAACCTTTGTTGTGCTACTGGTTTCCTTAACCACTGGTCTGTGCGGGAGATAGAACATGACGTCACTGGTCGTCATCTGATCAGGTGGCACCTCACTGATGACACCATCACTTACCATCTGACTGAGAGCTGAATCATAGTCAGCTCGCAGCTGGGGGTTCCTGTCCAGTTTGCGCTCTAGACTCATCAGCCGCTTTTGTGCGGAATCACGATTCTCCATCAACTGACTTTTGTTGTCCCTCCAGGGCACACTAACAACGTACCTGCTGCCATCATACTGGATGGACTTGTTGAACGCCTTCAACACGGCATCATCATCATCAGACTCCATCTCAGTACCAGGATCAAACCCATCCCGAGACCACATCTCACTAGCACTGGGAGTTGGGGCGGTCATCAGAAGCAGTTGACATCCCATACCTGAGTCAACATCAGCAGGGCCCCCCTCCACTGAACCAGAGAGGACCCACCCAAATGGTGTCTCCATAGCAGCCAGCCCGTCAGGGCCTCTGACAAGTCCAGATCTTACCAGTGACCAGTACTGGTCTTGTCCAACAACAATGTCAATGTGCAGTGGGCAGTCCGACATGCAGTCTGCTGCGAGCTGGAGATGGCTGAAGGGCTGGAGGAGCTGGGCAGGGACTCGAGGCCGCATCAGTGGCGCGCATATCACTGGCACCTCCACCACTCGAACTTTAGTAGCTGTCGGCACACAAGCAGCATTTGCGGCAGAAACATTGAGCTCATACACATTACACACATTTGAGGTTCTACCCCCACCAAACGATGCACATGTTATGTCCACTGACCCCTGATACTCCCCTTTCACTTGTTTCATCAGCCTCTCGGTCACAAAACTCTTGTCAGCCCCACTGTCATAAATCAGGGTAGCAGGTACAGGGCCATCTTTGCCCTCAACAAGTACATGAGCGATGGGAAGCAGTGACACACTACCCGTAGTACAAGACAGAGACACTCTAGCTTGTGGCTCCTGACATGACTGAGTCGTTCCCCCATCAGACCGCTGAGGTCTGAAGGAGGTGGACTGAGGAGGTCTACCTGCACCCTCACCACCCCTGGATCCCACCGGGCCATCAGTTCCCCTACACCAGCACAGTAGAGGGTGGTGTCTGCCACCACAGTCACATCTCTTAGCACACTGTTTCGCATGATGTCCAGTCTGCAGACAGGACATACACACATTTTTAGCCCTTACTTCTTGGTACCTTGCCTTTGGATCAATCGACAAAAAGTGAGCACACTTAGCTGGCACATGCTGTCCTCCGCAGAAGGAGCAGACTGTAGAGACAGCCTGGAGAGCCGCAGCAGCTGCAGGGGCTCGTTGGTGCACGGCTCTCTGTGGTCGGGTCACACGTTGGCTGCGCCTCGACTCCGAGGCAGCAGGAGCAGCCAGGTGCTGAGAGTAGGCACCTGATCTCTCGCGTCGCCCGATCTCTGAGTCAAGGAACTCCAGCAACCAACTCAGGTCACTCTCATGTCCAACGCCATCCCGTGCCCACTCCATCCTAATGGCAGATGGCAGTCTTTGTAAAATCACAGGTACTAGCATCACACCATATGCATCACCCTTCACACCTAACGCCTCCAAAGCCCTCACATGAGTCAACAGCTTATCCTGTAAGCCCCTCAGAACATGCACGTCAGGTACAGAGGGGGCAGGGATGGAGAGCAGCTGTTGAATATGGTTAAATATGATCCGTTCAGTTCTACCAAAGCGGTCAGCCAGCAGTTTACATGCAGCAGCATAGTTATCTGCACTCAGTGGTAACCCTGCAATGCACATGGCTGCCTCCCCATCCAGCAAGGATCTCAAATATGAAAACTTAGTCACATCAGGTAGGTCTGAGTCGTGTACAGCAGCTTTAAACATCTCCCAGAAAGACTGCCACTCTAGCACATCACCCTTGAACCTTGGTAAGTTCAGCTTTGGCAGCTTCACATTCTGACTGCCAGAGACACCAGTCTCAGACCCAGTCTCCCCCCGAGCCACCACCTTGTTCACACTCGAGATAACACCAACCACAGAGTCACGGAAGCATCCAGCTTTCTCTATATCATCCAACATTTCTGACTCAGATTCAATCATCATCTCCAGATCACCCTGGATCTCGTCCAGTGTGTTGAGGCGCATCTCCAGTTCTCTCTTAATGTCTTTCAACACATCACGATCAGGCTTATCTTCCTTCATGGCGTCGTTCGCACGACTGATAGTCCGTGTTAGCCACCCTTTGGCAGCCACTCTCCTCTTGATAAGTGTTGTTAGATCCTGCGCCATTGCCACAACTATCAGAAACACAAGTTATGGTCTTCACACATCAAATTAATGGCTCAAAGAAACAAACAAAAGTCCAAGAAAACAATCATGAAGCTTCAGCAGGTTTAGGATCACTTCTGCTCTCAACGAGGCTTCACCACAGTCACGTGGTCTCAAAACACCAGCCAGAGCAACTGGTCAACACGTCCAAAGTTCCGCCAAGGCCAAAACAACTCAAAATGGCCTATCCTTCGAAAGTCGGAACTCGGAACACCAGGCCAGGGCTTCAGAACCTGGGTCAAGGTCTATCCTCACCAATTACCAGGCTTGACTGATCAACTTTTATCACTCAAACTCTTCAGGGTGACAAAGTCAGCCATCAAATCAGTAGGCTAATAACAAACAAATGTCACCACCCTTTCAGCTCACAAACACAGCTGAAATCTTCTGGTCACCTCCCGGCGGTTTCGGCACCAATGTCTGGGAATCAAAGCTCTCCCATCTTCATCACTGATCACAACCGGGAAACATTCGAAATTCAAATTGGGTTTATTGCGCCCTTGAACTTTGACGCATCAATCACCCAAAGGTCTCCCATCACAGGCACGGGAGCCATCAAACCAACAACTGACCGCCACGCAGTCACAACAAATCCAACTCAACATTGCCACGTCATCGCCGCACTCGTCTCAGCTGCGCCGTTCACGTGTCAAAACCCGCCACGCCGACCACACCCAAGCTATGCTACGCAGTACGCACGTCCTGTCCTCTGTCTCAGCTACCTGTAATTTGTGGCTAAGAGTTGTGCCACCAGGCGGCAGCACCCGTCGGCCTATCGGCCTATAGCTGTCGCCACTGCTGCACCGAGCGATGAGTGTACTCATCTCGGCCACACTACCTATACCTATATTTCTCAACAGAGGTAGCCACCTCTTCGCAGATGGAGAAGATATCATACAGCACACAAAGAGCCACGAACGTGCTGTTCTCCGACGCTTTATGCTCTAGACCGTTTACTTTAGCGCGAATGCTGCCCTTCACGGAGCTGTCGGCTTTGATCGTTTGCAGCGTGCTTCGCAGCTGATCGTAATTGTCGATAATGCGCTTGAGGGCTTTGGCTTGTATGCACCATCGAGTCGGGCACATAGCGACTAGCTTTTGCGGGTTCGTTTCCTCAGAGATCGCCTTGTAGATAGCCAGCCTTTTTGCTGACTCATTTACGACATTCACTGCGTCGCGAGCAAACTGAATGGCACTTGCCACAATCGCGATGTCTCGACTGGCTTCTTGCAGCACAAGATCGAGAGTGTGATTTGAGCAAGGTACATACAGAGCGTGTGGACACTCCTGCCTTATTCGTGCTTGCACACCTTGATGTTTCCCACTCATATTGGTGGCTGTATCGAAGGAGAATCCCGATAGTGAGTCCGTGCTCACTTGCATTCGAAGAAGAACGTCGCGAATCACCGTCGTCAACGTCTCGCCGGTCGAGTCTGGTGAGTTATATAGGCCCACAAACTCATTCACAGATTCCATGTTGCTGTTTGTGTACTGTAGGCACACCGTGAATTGTTCCATCCCGCTCACATCCGTGGTTCCATCGGTTACAAATCCGACAAAATCGCTTCGCTTTACCTCCTCCATGACTTCTCTCCACACCTCAAGAGCCATCATCTCAATCATTTCGTTCTGGATAGTGTCCGACATCCAATTGTCACGCCTTTTCAACCAGTTGAGGACTTCGGGGGCGTCTACTTTAGCTCGTTCCTTCATTAGGTTGTAGAATGGTCCATCTCGATGGTAGTGTCCGCGGATCGGGAATCCCTGCCGAGCAAGATAGCGTACTGATGAAAACATCATGATAAGGGCCTTTCGGGCAATGACCCGCTCTTCAGCCGCAGCATTCACCAGCATCCCATCAACGCCAGGTTTGTTCTGGGCGCGCAGACCCTGGACGGCGATGCTATGGGATCCGCTTTTATCGTGCTTTGACATCTTATCCAACGCCCTTTTCCAATTGCGAAACCCTTTGGAGATAAATGCGTCATCAACTCGAGCCGAGCCGTGCAGGAGACCTGCGGCTTTTGCGGACTTGCACGGACGGCAGACAATTGCGTCCTGCTCACATGAATATTCGATCCAAGGATATTTTTCTTTCCATGCCTCTTGGAAGGATCGACCTTTTCCTCGCTTAGCAGGCGGTGGTTGTGATGATGAGGGGCCCAGGGATGGCTCGGACGTAACAGGCCGATGCTCAGACGTCAAAGGCTGCACCAGAGTTTCGGATGTTGGAAGCCTTGAGATGGATGATGATGTCGCAATGTCTTTGGAAGGAGGTTCAGAGAAGCTTGGCGCTTGACTGGGAGTGGTGGGAACCAGGCTGTGGGAAAATGCATTATTTATTAATTTCTCGTAGTGATGCCCTGGCAATTTACTTACTATAAATAACCGAAAAATCGTCGACGCTTTCACGCCCAATTGCAGTGTTCTTGCCAATGGAAAACGATAGAAAGGGCTCCTATGGCCTGCCCAAATTAGCCCATAGCGAGCTAGCGCGAACTTCAGTGGTCTTAGAAAGCTTTTGAATACTGTTGCCACTGCAATGGTCAATTTTTCACACAGGTCAATTCGTCGCCCACTTATGCGATTTCATCATTCTAAAACGAACACGGGGGGTTGTTACTTGCCACCCCCGCGCCATTTCTTTCCTGGTGGAGATAGAGCTTTGCGACCAAGACCAGCAAGTATTTCTTAAGAGACAAATACAACGGTAGCCCTATTTTACCTTCTTAATTCAATCATTGATCAGGTGAAACTAAAAACGTAGCTATTTTTGCTGCGGTCGGGACATGTGAAATACTGCTTGCGATGTGGCTGCGCTACGGCAAGATTATGGTGTCAAAGATAGAAGAGCTTCCCGTCTCTCCTATAAGCTATGTTGCTACCGTTTGTCCATCTCCATAAAAAATGCGCATTCAGGAGGATAAGGTTTTGCCACTTTTTAACCGAAACTGGCGTGTAGTGCCGTCACTAAATTGGCCATAACTCAAAACTTCTTGAACGAAATTCGAACAAATCCTCACCAACGGCGTAAAATTGATGTAGGGGAAGGTATCCCATGTTTCATGTCGATGTCTCAATTCGTTTTTGAGTTATCGCAAATATTCGGCAGGGGGGGGGGGCGTTTTCCATCCCCCTCACTCCGTCAAAGGCGGGTTAAGAACAGTCTGAAAATTTAATGCGTTGATCTCAATTCTTTCTGGAGATATGCGCGAAAAACTTAGGTAGGGCGTAAACCCTCCTGCCACTAAAAAGGGTTAAGTATGAAGTAGGAATTCACCACTGTTATTAGATCACGGGACGGTTCTGGAGACTTACCTTCGACGCAGGAAAAACGAATCGATTTTCTGTTGCTCCATGACGCTCCCAAATCATGCGATTCAATGCACCTGCACCTTCACCCGCTGGCTTCCCTGCCCACAGGTCTGACCCGCCACGTCCACCAGCCGTCGCGTCAAAACTTGCACGCAAACCCGAGCCGGCAGCATTGGCTTCAGACACAGGAATGCGGCTGATTCACGCGCGATTGTGAGTGAGGTACCGTCAGTTTGAAGATTCGGCTGAAGAATATGTAGTTTTAAATACGTAGTTTGACGTACACTCACCTACTAAGTGATGTTCGCCCCCCGACGGCCCAGCGTTTGACTGGAGCGGTAGACTGCGCCGCCTCACACCCAGGTTCAGCGGTACAGTATATCCCTCTGGCCTCACGCTCGGCACAGACGCGTTGGGCTGGGTCAGGGACGCGCCGCGCTGCGCTGGCCGCCTTACCACTCATTATACGGAGCGAGCGAAGCGAGCGAAGTCTTACGTAGAATAACGGACATGACGGACACCAGGACACAGTGATCACAGTGAAAACTCTCGGAGCCCGGGCGTCCAGTCTCAGTCGGAGCGCTGTTTCTCCAGCAGATGCTCCCTCAGTCCCCGTCATATGTGCCTCAGTGTGCCCGTTAGTGCACCATACCATAGCATTCCCTAACCACTTCTGAGTCACACCGTGAAAGAATTAAGGCGCTAGCACAGGGCAGACCGACGCTATTGAAGTTTTTGTCCGTTGCGGTCGGGTGTCGCAGTCGGGGCGGATTGCTTTCACCGCGGATTGCAATTTCGACAGACGTTTAACTTTGACCTGCTATAAGTAGGTCAAATATTGACCTTAACTCAAAAGTAAGATGCTCATTCGCGAGATCTTGTTAAGAGCAATCCGTTGGTTTTGTCGCAAGACGCTAGGACACTTCGTTTAGGAACAGCAGAGGGATGCACCGACGAAACCCCGCCGTGGCCGCCCGGGCCGACCACCGCGCCGCGGCACCCGACCGCAACGGACGAAAAATTTAGTAGCGCCGGTCAGCCCTGTGCTAGCGCCTTCATTCTTTCACAGTACGGCTCAGAAATGATTAGGGAATGCTATGGTATGAGCACTAACTACCGGGCTCACACTGTGTAAACTGCTGTAGGTGAGATGAAAGCAAATATTTTTAAATAAAAAACTGCGATTGCAATATGATGACAAATAGTTAGATCAACGCCACACCAAAAGAGATACGGCTTTTTGTGACCCTGCATTAAAAACAGCAGACTTTGTGGATCATTGCCATGTATATTTTTGCCATTTGTATGAAATGAACGCACGCTAGCGGCGTTTGAAGTTGCGAGTATCTTACAGTCATTTTACGACATAGAAAATGCCACGAATTCTGACAATCATACACGAGGCCGGTTTTGACAAAAACATGAAAACCATGTTTTTTCAGACACTCCAAACATTTGCCTGACTGGCCATATTACGATTTATTCGATAAGGTGAACTTGAAATTTGGGCCTTTTCGGTATTTATGGCCACTCGTGAGTCGTGAACCCCATTTGCATCA